CGGTCATTGCTAGGGAAATGAGGCCAACTCGGCATGCCAATTTTGTAAATTGGCTTGAGGTAAAGTTTTAGCGCCATGTCGCGTTGATCAATATGCCATTTCATGTTGCATTTTTATTGGCCAGTCAGTAGATATAGGTCGTAGCAGCAAACACACTTGACTGTGAGATGTTCATGCTAAATTTCTGATACTGTCAGAAACTTTTCGCAGGCTCTCTTTGGCAACCTCTCTCACTATTCGATGTAGGACCACCGTTTTGGAGCCACGACCACAGAAATTGCCACGATTGGTTATTTTTCGTCTGGGACAGCCCAAAATAGTAAATGTGTATTTCTGGGCCGGCAGATGCAATTACCTATAGCAGCCTATGAAGGAGTGAGCCATCTCTCAGATTTCATCAAAAATATCTTATTTGTGTTCCGAAGATGAACGAAAGTCTTACGGGGTTGGAACAACATGAGGGTGAGTAATTACTGACAGAATTTTCATTTTTGGGTGAACTAACCCTTTAACATTGGATTTGGACGTGTCTTGATGCCTTACTGGAATGCAGTCTCCGTGGGCAGCATTTTTCAGTTTTCGGATGCAGCCCATTCCTCCTCAGGAAGCTTTCTCGCACCTCATTCCTCGCCTCATTGCGGTGCAATTAGAGAATTGAGATATCCTTCAGGATGGCTGAGTTCGATCCGTTTCCGGATCATGGGATTGAGGACATTGTTGGTCCAAATAAACTGGGTACGAACCCATCTTTCTAGAGCAAGCATTTGCGAATCCCGCATTGAACTCCGAGATTTGAGAAGCAGTCGTCAGAAAAGTGACGTGTTGTGGGCTGGTCAAGTTGTTCGCGGGAGGACAACATACAACATAGGCAGGCATTATATACAAATGTATCTCCAGTGACGTAGAACCGTAAAGCAGTACGATTCGAAACCCAAACGACTCGTAAGGCGGTTCAGACTCAGAGTCGATTTTTTCTTGTGGGAGACAACAACTTTATTTATCGTGCACTTTCAACTTTACAACTTTGCAGAACGCTTACATTCACAAACAGCTATTACACACTGCATGAAATGGAATATTCGAAAAACCATAATAGGGGCAGTTTTAATATTTATAGTGGTGTTAATTAAAAATGTGCAATTTGTACTACCCATTGTGCTCAAATACACTAATGTATTGATAAGTAAACTTTCATACTTAATGTCTACAGATCCAGGTCATGCTTGTCATAGACTGCGTTTCAGTCCACTTTTAGACACGCACTTGCGAACTTCCCTAAGCACTTCCCCTCGGGGGAATCCATGCCGCCATTTTGAAGTGCGTTCCACTTCGTGAAGTGGACGAGGGAAGTTTATATGGACAGACACTTGTTCCCTCGATTTTGACCGAGGGAGCGAGTCTACTTCATATGTACACTTACTTCAGGCAGTTCCATATAACACAATGCAACACAATTGTGACGTCACCACAGATCTAATCACCACCACCACAAACAACTCTGATATATTAATTATATATTTTTAATTTAAAACAACCCAAACACACCTATATACATTTGGATGCTGCATTAAACAAATTCTTAAAGGAAAAAAAATGTAAATAATAAATCAACTCCATGGCTGATTCCAAGTGATCAAGGGCTTAGGACGTTCCAATTCAGCCAAATGCAGTCTCCGCCAGTAGTGGGCACTCGTGCAACATAAGCAATGACGTACATCCGAGTGAACAAGACGGAGGGAAGTTAGCGAGTGAAGGGCATGACAATTTTGGACTGGAACGCAGCCATAGAGTCCATCAATACCAGACCCTTCAGCTCTTCCCACTCGATAAGCCTCACCCAAATTCTAATTCATCACACCTGTCACCATCACAGTATTTAACCCTCATCCTTCCCTCGGGTAATTTTGACTTGAAAGTAAGTTTTTTTAAATATATATATTTAAAAATTGAGTGTTCATCAGAGGGGTCCAAGACCCTAGGACTTTTGTCACACTTCAATCACGAATACACAAAAGTTTTGTGGTTGATATTTAAAAAAGTAATAAATCCTTCCCTCGCGGGTCAATTGAACCCCCTTAGGAATGAATGGAATGCGAGGAATACTTCAGTGCACATAGAAAACCCTAAAAATGCTCAAAATTCTAACTAAAAATGCTTTTTTTATAATGTCTACATGTGTATCTGAATGCATACTTAAGATAAATGACTTTAAGACCCAGCGGAGCAGCTAATTTTCTCCAAATCAGGCCATCTAGTGGCAAGAGTCATGAAATATTATGTTATATTATTTTTTTCCACAAGAGGTTGGCAAAGACACCCAGTGTAGATATTTTAAGCTGAATTAAAAGGGTTATGCATGAAATTTAGCCTGGTTAAAACCAGACCATTCTCAGTTGTAACTTGGTCTGGCAAAGCGTCAGACAAATCATTTCCAGAGGGGCGTCACCAACGGACGTCGTGGTTAGACCTAAAACCACTGATCTATATAATGTCATTCTATAGATCAGTGCCTAAAACCAATCAGAGCGATGAAGGAGATGACGTATGCAGAGCGGCGGAAAAACATCTCAGAGTGTTGTTCTTTGCTCGGTTTTTAACAAATAGGAAACGTTCAAATCGCTTAAAACAGACGCGATAGCTGATTCGAACGAGTGATGTTCGACGGCGGCATCCATCTTTGTAATGTAGGCTACAAAATCTGCTTCAAAATCCCAGCGCTGTCGTCATCGTGTAAAGCCCGCCCCAACGTTTCTGATTGGTGCCGCGATTTCGACGGATTGGAAATGGGCTTGAATGAGCTCTTTGCCAGACTAACTTTCAGAGCAAATCTAAATTTCCCGGAAGTTGTCTGGGTTTTCCCAGGCTACATGAAATTGTGAGTTATTTTTAATTTAAGTTGAAAGAATGTGAGGAATGTGCTTAAATTACTATTTATTAATTATTGATCAAATATAGTAATTTAAGGTAAGTAAAATAATACTAAAAAAATATACTAAAAAAGTGCATTAAAAAAAATGTTTCAAAGAATTTATCAAAATGAAATCTAATAAACTTTCTAGGCAAGTAAAAATTAAGTATTATTTTAGGGCTTTGGGTCATTTTGACCCGTGATGGAAAGATGTGTTACAAAGTGCGAGGGAAGGTCCACACATCACTGGTCGTGTTGATCACTAGTCACTACATGACTACCTGTTCTGCTCACCTGTTGAGATCCCTGTTCGCCAGCCTTCGTCGTCTTCTTCTTCAGCTTCACCGTCTTCGGTCACCTTGGTCTGCCACGCACCTGCAAAGTACAAAGAGAGTTAACCACGAGATAAATCATTCAACCAAACCTCTCGGTGAAGACTACCTGTTTCTCCTGTTTGTTCTCTGCTTCCTTAAATAAACCATCAGTGTGATTGCATACCTGTGTTGTCTCCTTCTGTCCGCTGACAATGCTATTGTAGACAGGCTAAAAAGGTTCTCTACAAACAACTTGTTGTCAGCTATTTTTTAAGAGATTGGCATTAATTAGTGTATTCAGCACCATAGCTCCATTATTAAACCAAATAAATGTGCATCTTTGTTTCGCAAGAGTGACCTGGGTGTTACAAGTGAAGTTCATGGGAGAGGTTTTTTTTTGCCCTGGAAAAAAGGAAGAAAATGCAAACAACATTATCTTCATGAGCTTCAGCGGATATCTGTTTCCCACACAGGATGTCATTCCCACCCTGAAGCCCCTGTTTTCCTTACACCTACTTCATAGTTGTTTCCTCACGCACAGGGCCTGGCTGTGTGCTGCAGTCACAGAACATTACGTTCTGCTCTTTTAATTCTCATATCCAGAAATATCTTACATAACATATTCGGATGTGATCATTTAAATAATTAAAAGTCAGTTTAGGAGACACAGGGACAACACTTTTGAACTGAAGGTTTACAACAGTTCCCTGGACTGAATTATGCCAACAGCAAAACACAAAACCTGTTTGTTAAGAATTCCAAATAGTGGGGCATTCAAATCCATGTAAATGAAGTGATATATCAGAGGTTGTCATGCTTCAAAGTGGCAATCACCTTTTTAAGCTATTTGGATGTTGCAAGATTTTTCGGAAAGCCACAAAACACTTTGCACTTAAGATGGAATTGATAAAATGGAAGAACTGAAATTCATGACACAAAAGGTGAGAACTTGGAGAGACCATGACCTCAGCTTACCTGGTAAATTGTGTGACTAATACTAGCTGACAAGTGGTGTCCGGAAAACAGGCAAGTTCCTGTATTCCATACAGTCAGGGGCCTGGTATTCTTCACCTCTTGATGACATCACTCTTGCATATGAAGCTCAGGATATTGCATATTACCTCATTAGGTCTTTTTCCAGGTCTCTTATTCTTATTATAAGACATATTTGTTTGAGACCATGTGGCAAAAATATAATTAGCCTAGATATTCATAAATAAATATGTTTCATTCATTAATTGTATTATATTAATCAAATTATGTAATATTAGTCATATTATATAATTAGGAATAAAATAATTATCATATAATTAATATAAAATAAATATAAACCATTTCTTTCTCTCTTTCAACATCAACACATTAGAAATATAGAATGTTGAAATACATTCTTTTGGATTTTATTTTAATATATATATATATATATAATTCTTCCTTCGAGACGTTTGCCTGACATGGCTTATTTAGACTAGATGTAAAAACCAGGACGCAATCACTTATCAGTCATAGTATATATTCATAGATTATGGTGATGGGCGGAGCCTCTATTCGTTGGCTAAATGAAGCTGTTTCTTCTTCACAGTCTCTCTGTGGATGAAGGCGAATGGAAGCTGGCGTACAGCGGGCTGCATATTAATTTGTTTCACCAGGATTTATGTCCGTCTATGCAGCAATTTATGGATTATGCGAATTAAATTTAATGCTGCCCCTCAACTGGGTTACGATGAGCTCAGTGTGTATCCTAATGTGATTTAATTTGTGATAATATTAGGGTAGCCTAGTAATCTGTTACTGCAGGACGTTATTTACATCAAGTCTCTTCGCAACATGAACATGGATGAAGATAACCGAGGTATGTTTCTGTTTCTGTTTTTTGCAAGCATAAGCAGCTGTCAGTCTCTGGTTTGTCTCAAAACCGAGTGAGCTGCCTATCTAGACAGCATTTTTGAGCGTAAGAGGCGCGTGCTGTTGATTGGAAACGCGCTTTGATGCCCAAACACTATATAGACAACTCAAACGGTTTCCTCACTGTGAAGATAACCATTATTCATCAGCACTAAACGGGGTGTGTAGGAGAAAAAAGTACATTTTAATATAATATTTTCTACTATACTTTTAATAGGCTTCTATTATTATCATCGACTGGATCATACTTTATTTACACTCAACTGTTTCTGCTTTATATAAAAAGTGTTTCATTTTTACTTGAAATTGCTAGTGTTCTTGTTTTTGTCAATATGTTGTCAATGTGTTTGATGAGAATTTGAACATCACTTGTCTTATTCCGTTCATGGCTGTCCATATGTAGGTCGTCAGTTTGTTTGATGTGGAGATTCTTTGAAGTAGCTCGCGAGATGTTTATGAGTACAGCTGTGGTGCCAAGAGGGATAATGAGGCATTTAATTAGTCAAGTGCTCGTTTTTTTATAGAGCTCTGCATAAATAACAAATTTATTAATTAGAAAATGCTACTTTTAGAATTGAGCAGTAGCCTATCATATGAGTGCCATACTGCACTGTAATATAACCAGCGGGGTTGGCATTCAATACAACAACACAACTGGGAGAGTGATGTTGCTTTATACAACAGTTCAACAAACAATAACTAAGTAACTTACATTTCAGACAAAAAAAAAAAAAAAAAGGTTAGTTATCTTCTCCACCAAAGAAAATGGTTCCAAAAGAAGTTACAACAACGAACATTGCTTGTCACAATGTTTTTTTTTTTTAAATTAAATCCACTCCAGTTTTTACATTTCGCAAATCAATACGCTCCATTTATAAACATTTGACATAGGCTGCTTCAGAAAGCTGAAAAATGATGCCTTCCAAGGTATGAAGGCATCATGGCACGTCCAAATCCAATGTTAGCTTCACTTCCTGTCTCCTAAAATATCTTTATCTGATCGATTTCTGAAGGCAGCATAGATGTATCCTTCACTGCCTTTGATATCCCACAATCCTCTGCGTTCCATTCCTTAAAAGTTGAGCTTAAAAAATAAATATGGCATCTTAAAGTTGCGGTTGTTGGTCAGTTTGTGTGTACGTTTGTAAGTTTTTGATGTAATTTAGCAATTAAATATTTACTTATTTGTTATCACCAAAGCTTGCTCTATTTTGTTGTAGAACATTAAACTGTTACGCTGCCTTAGAATCTGAATATCAGAATACCCCCCATGGACATCCCCCACCCCTGGAACAAGAGGTGGACCCCCAACCACCACCAACGGGTGATATATAAAGGGCGATTTCGGACACTAGTTCTGCCTAGTATACAGAAAGCTTAAACCACCATTATTGTTAATACAGTAATAATGTAATAACTTAGTATTGCAAAATGTTAGCACAAGTTAAAAGAGGAAATAAAAAAAAAGAAATTAAAAAGAAATTAAAATGAAAATGTAAATGACAGAAATATTCTGAAAGCTTCTTACACCATTTGAGTTATTAATGTATTTTTATTCTAGAATAGTTACAAATAACTATAGGAACTATGGTATTTTTGGTGGATATGGTTTCCATGGTCACTTTTAAGGGACTGGAAGATATTGTTTATTTCTTTGGTTTGTATTGTTCTTTCTTTAGATATTAAATTTGAAACTTCGACAAATTAATTTTAACTTTACTACACTGATTGTAGCCACCTGGTCCATGGGATATTTTGTGATGACCAATTTGGAAAGATTTCAGAGCTTGCACAATTTGTCAATTTGAACACATTTTGGACAGGCACCAGTGGGCTTTCAGATATTTCTCAAATTATTCTGCTTTCAATTACTATATTACTGTGGAGATAATGGTAGTGATTTAGTGTGAGGCTGTTACTCTGTGAGAGTTGTTTTGGTATATCAGTGTAAAAAAAAAAAGAAGAAAAAAAGGAACCAGAAACTGGACCTAAAAGCCAGACATCTCAAGCAGCTTTGAGCATGCAGCCAGTTTCATTGCTATGCTGATTTACTGCTGTAATCACTTTATCTGACAAAGACCAATTGTAAATGTCTATAAGAACAAGAAAGCAAGGAGATAGAGCTACCATTAGCTCAGTAGGTCTTTCCAGTTCCTCTTGTATCATGATCCTGAAAACTTCAAAGCCTTGGACTCAATGGCTAGTTTGTCTTATCTTACCGTGGGAAAAAAACAAATGGAAAACCATTTTCCATCAGTTTCTGTGACAGATGGTTGACTGCAAAGAAAGACCGCTAGGACGTCAAGGAGAGCCATCAGAACCACAAATTGATGTCCTTTTTACCTCTATATGCACTGAATTAATAATAAATTGTAAATGTGTTCAGCATTCTTGAACAAATATTTATTCTGATTTTCTAGACTAATTTAAGTCGTAAAAGTTAGCAGGATATATTCAAATTTAGCACATGGTCTCTGAGCCCTCCCTTGCTCTACAGCACCACAAATTTCGTTAATCTCTGTGGTGAAACATGGAACTGCAGTGCTTGCTAATTGAGTCATTGGGGCAGATTTCAGACTGCCGCGCTTATTTTCACATTTCTTGTAAACCCCGCTTCAGACCAATACAATCAATCCACTTCAGGTATGTGTATATAGTCTGCAATCAGGTCAGTTACTAGTTGGCATGTCTGTTCTACCAATGTGGAGTAGCATATCAAATTAATGAAAGCGTTCATCCTTTAGTTTAAACTTGCTCATATGAATAGTATGGAAGCTTGTTTCCGCCACAGAATAAAACATTTTAAAAGATAAAATTAAAAGACCTTTCAATTCTGACTTTATTTCTCAGAATTGCGTGAAATATAGTCACAATTGCGTGTTATAAAGTCAGACTTGCGAAATATAAACTCACAATTGCGAGTTATATAGTCAGAATTTCAGGATATAAACTCACAATTGCGAGAAATAAGCTTTTTATCTCGCAATTCTGATTTTATAACACGCAATTGCGACTTTATATCATGCAATTCTGACTTTATATCTCCCAATTGCATGTTATAAAGTCAGAATTGCGAGATAGAAACATGCAATTCTGAGAACAAGTCAGAATTATGAGTTTATTTCTCGCAATTGTGAGTTTATATCACAATTCTTACTTTATAACACACAATTGCAACTTTATATCTCGCAATTGTGACTTTATAACTCGCAATTGTGACTTTATATCTTGCAATTCTGACTTTATAACTCGTAATTGCGACTTTATATCACGCAATTCTGAGATAAAGTCAGAATTGCGAGATGTAAACTCCCAATAGGCTCCATGCACGAACGCTGCTGACGTATTTCCGGTAGAATCTCAGCCAGTGTCTTTACCTCCGCATAGCGCGTTCTACAGTATAGCGAAGTGTACTAGCGGCCAAACTTTAATAAAATTCATTTTCTCAGAAACGAGACAACAATTTTAGAAACTGATTCGCTTGTCGGATTTCGCATGATATGAGAGATTACTCACCCTCAAAGTTGTCGATGTAGCTCGAAATATATAATTTAATGCCCTTCTCTTTCTTACTCTTATGTGTGACAGCTAACTGCCTCACAATATTGTTAACATCTTTCACGTTAACCACTGGAAGTTCTTGTAAACAGCGAGTGTAATTTGCCATTATCTCCACCTAATGCAAAAACGGCTTGCAACGCAGCACTGGATGTAACTGGGTGGGCTGAGACAAAACACGGAAGCGATCGTGCATAGGTGAGAAAAAAGTCAGCATTGTGAGATAAAAAGTCGCAGTTACCTTTTTTTTTTTCTATTTTGTGGCGGAAACAAGCTTCCATAGAATAGCCTTTACAGGCCTACAGTTCTGTTCTGTTCTGTAGTTATTTTGAATAGACATGACTTTGTTTTCCTCACTGGAATTCCTCCACAACTTGCAAAATTCTAAAACAACATTCGGTAAATGGCATTCTATGCGTTTGTCGTGTGTACTAAAGTCTGTCAATCACCATTAGAGCGCCACCCTCAGGCTGAATAACGCAAGTACATTACAAATCTGCCAAAAGTGCATCTGATGTGTTCAGCGATTAGAATATAAAGCTTACAAAATGTTCATCATAAACTAGCGTTAAGACCAAGAATCTGCCCTACCTAAATTTACGGCCAGGAGCCGCTACTTCTAAGGACCAACAAAGGGACAGACTTTCTCAGACTGATTAAAGGAGAGACCGTGTGGCCTGGCACTCATTAACATGTCTGTGTCTGATGGCACCGGTGTCTGGTCCAGGCTCTCCTGAGGAGCCGTCTGGCACCAGGGATGACACAGGCAGTGGTCAAAACCTCATCAATGGTGTGACTGCACCAGCAGAGATCTGAAGGACTCCGTGCCTGGCAAATCTGCTTAAGGTCAAGACAATGTCAGCCATGCTATTATTATCAAAAACATTGTATTTTTTCATTTCACTGTTGTGTAATATCCATTCTGATTACTGATAGATCTGAGATGCCATGCTCCACAAGATTTGATGTTTATGTTTGCTGTGGATTGAGATTTTGATATGAGGTTTAATCTGTGAATATTACAGACTTTAAGATGATGTTAAACATTTATCATGTGGTTGCATCCTGATTATTGTCATTGGATGAAGAAGGAGAGGGAGCTTTTAGCGTTCAGTGTTTGTTGTCTTCTAAGTGCCACATATGGAATTGATTTGAAGAATGTCTGGAGGGCCTTCCAAGACGTTTTATGAGCTATAGCACCAGTTGAACTGTGGTGAAATGAGTGGATGGTGAATTACTGTTATTGAATGCAAATATTTTCATATTTGAATAAAAAATGTGAAAGTGGAAAGTTAAAAACCTAAATAACTTTTTGAGGGGGTTGTCAAACCCTTTTGTCCCTGCAGGAGATTTAAAAACAAACTGTCAGTAGTACAAAAGAGCCTTGTC